CATTTCGCCAGGTTTCGGAACTTTCGCCAATTTCGGACATTTCGCCAGGTTTCGCTAGTTTCGGAAGAATCGGATTTAAGTCTTTGGCGAAACCCATTTCACCAGGTTTCGGAGGTTTCGCCCGGGCGAAAGTTTCGATTTCGTTTACAACACTAGATCAAATAATCCGAAATCACTTTTAATCTCAGTAATCACACCATATTTTTGGTTTAGATTCTATTTAATCTCATCGCTCGCCAATATGATATCTTAATTCCATTGTTGCATCTTCAACATTTTTGTGGGTTTAAAATGATATTTTGTACATAATTACACAATTTCATGCATAGACGTTCAAAATTCCGAAATCCGAACAAATTAGCCCGCATTAGGGATTAGGGTTAGCATAGTGTTGCCAAATTTTTTTTTTTTTTTTGGAATTTTGAACCGGATACAGAATCAAAACTGTTAAAACCGACGACTCTGAATTAGATAGTAAAAAGTAGATATATTTGTAACACTAGAACATATGATAAAAAATATGTAACCTACTTTTTGGATAGCATCCAATCAGATTGCTAAATAACGGAGCTAAACCTTTCTTACTGATTAGGCCTAATAAATATATTCATTTTATCATATTCTCATAAAATAGTTCCAAGCTGAATACTCTTATGATCATATGATTTACTATGTCCCGTAAGGCCAACTTAGACTACAAAATGTATATTAACTGTTAATAGAGATGCGAACTAAAATTACTTATTAAAATAATTTATCTTGTATATATTATTAATCCATCAATTTAAATATTTAATATCAAGTAATAATTAAAGAGAAGTTACTAAATTGTTTGACCGGTATCGGTATCAAATACTTTTTTTATAGATATTGAATGAAAAACCTGTAAAGGAATATTTTAGGTTTATCATTGAAAACTTAAAATATAACACAAGTTTTCATTCTGCAGCACTCATAATATCGTAATATTAGTTATAAATTCGATAATTTTGTTAGCTGAACCACAAATTTATCATATCTGCGGAGGATATTGAAAAGGTCAAAAATTACAGCATTTTTTTTGGAATATAACAATATTTCTTAAAATTCGTCAAACATTTATTTCAATAGATTACTGAAATCGTCAACCACTTGCAAAGCGATAATTATATTATATATGGAAATTGGTCCTGTCCTCAATTATCATGCAAAAACGAAGACCAATGGCAGATTAAATTAACTCAGAAATTTTATTAAAAGAATATTTATGGTTAAGAATAAATTTTAGAGAAACAGGTAAGAAAAAACAAGCTGATTTTTTCAAGGAGCCATGCAAAAAATGCTATAAGAAATGCCTGATCTCAAGTTTCTTCCTATACAAGCAAAAACCAATTCGATGGGATGTATGTTATGTTATTGTTAAAAGTATTTCATTTTTATGAAATTTATTTAATCTAATAAATTTTTGCTCCCGATAGAAAGAGCCTGACATAGAAATCATCTGTCACCTAGAATGGAACAATCATTATAGAGTATTCGGCCATTGGAAATGCCAATGTCCATCACCTCAACATTATTGGAGAAGTGCTTATACATGGATATCACTTCGAAAATTTATAGAAGGTGGCCCAATAAAAGATCAGAATGATTTTTATATACAAAAGTGCACTAAATGTTTGGAGGAATGCAATAAATGCAAAAAACGCAATCAGAAGTGCGAAATATGTAAGAAAAATGACGTAATAAATGACGAAAGATGTGATGGTTGCAAAGATAAACACAGAAAATGCATGATATGTAAGAAATGCGATTATTATCGTACTATCATTGAATACACACTTTTAGAACAATCAGAGAGTAACGTACCTCATAAAAGAGATTTATGTTCAAAGTGTAGGTCAGGTGCTATCTGTCGAAATGACAACAGACACTACATTCGGCAAAACAGAAATATTAAATTATTTTCGGAAGAAAGAGAAATCATAAGTGAGAAAGAATCAAATGAATCGAGTGAAGAACAGAATGAGGAGTTAGAGATAGGCATATGCAATTCATGTGGACAAAAATTGAAAATATGCCCTAAATGTGGGCGTGTCCGATGTTCTTAAACTAATACCTTTCTTCCATTTTACTTATCTGCACCTTTTCTTATTTGGTTATTATATTATTTTATTCTATTCTATTTTATTATATATGTATATATTCAGTATTATATTATCAATGTGTTATTAGGAGCCTTGGCATAACGCGCGAAATGAAGGGGAACAGATTATGTGACCCTTATCATGTAGTCAATACTGAGACTCCTAAGAATTATGCGAACTGAGCAAATTTTTTCGATTTTTAATACGCTACCCATATTTATAAATTTGATTAATTAAAAATTTTGTAAATTTAGCATTGAATCTGATTTCAAAATAAAATTTGATATCTGCTAAAATTCTTTACTTATTTGTGTTAGTGATCTTGAACCGGTTGGGCGATAATTGAATAACGAACCTAACCGGCTCAAATTTTAAAGATTAATTTTCTCGACTTAGGTCACATGATTTTGGATGGCGGTCATCACATTATGATATGTTTATTCCGGGGATAAAATGAAACGAACATATAGAATGAACAAATATGAGACAATTTGATTGGTCGATGCAAACAAGAGATTGGTGAGAGTTATCAAGCGTTTTGATTGGTTGTTCATTTCTCGGGGGAGCATAGGGGTGATTCGAACGGCCTTATCGTTATATAAAGCATTCAGTAAAATATAACGATAATGTTATAGTAGGCAGCAAAAGTAACGCCCGATTTTTTAACAAAACGGAAATTTCGATTTTATTTTATATTTAACTACACTATTAAGGCACTTGGACGTTCAATATTAACGTGATTCTTTGTGGCGTTAAACCACAACCACCCAAAGAACAAACATATAAGATTCGTTTACCCCTTCTGAGACCGTTCCTGTTTTTTAAAAGGAATTCAAACTTATAGATATTGTTTCTATTTTAAACCATTTTATACTTTTTTTACAATATGAAAATGATAGTTATTAAAATTTACTTCAATTAATTAATAAATATAAGCATAAAACGGGACAAGATAGTTAGTATTCAAGAACCTTAGTATAAAATTTTTTATAAATTTTTTTATTTAAATTTTAAATATTTATAAAAAAAAATATTAATTACACCCTCACGCCCCTAAAATTCGACTATTTTCGCATCTTTTCATCGTACGACACCATATTCGAACTTACCAGGTTTGTTTGCCTATTTCCTTTTTGTTTATCAAAAAAAATACACGTTTTGCCCACATACGTTAATATATATATATTTTTCCCTGCACTAAATTTTACATCCGGTTATATTATCATTTGTCGAATATGGCCCTTTTATTGCTACATAAAACTTAACCACAAAGCTTTACGAAACTCTAGTTACGACCAACAAACCGCGCTAACCCCAGATAGTTGACAGAGCCGCGCAATGCTTGTGCCACTGTCAACCCGTCGTGAAGCTACGGCCCATTTCTCGTGCGACTTACTAGGCGATCATACTTTGTATAAATGAGGGTATTAGTTATTAGGTATGCGACATCTTGTGGACATGCGGTTTTTTTTTTTTTATTATTATTATTCAGAAGTCGAGAATGAAGATAAAAAAAAAAAAAAAATAGCTTCGGGAATCGTCAGAAGGGTAAGTACAAGTACAGTCTCTTTATTTGTTCACATGATTTGATATGCAGATCGGGAGTATATAAGCCGACTAAATTAAATCTTTGATAACGATAATATTTCATAATAACAATTGATCTACACTATGACGAAAAAATTTTTAGATAATTTATCCTTTGACCTAATGGTACTTTTGAGAAAAAGAAAAGGTCGGGATGTAATTATTCATGTTGGAGGGGATACAGAAAGGGAAACTTTCGAGTTACACTCTGGAATTTTATGTGTACGGAGTCCATATTTATGTAATGAACTAGATAATCTGGATTATAACGAGGACCATATCAAAGAAATCAACAAACCTGATATTTCAGTTGATGTTTTTAGGATAATAATAACGTAGGTTATACGTTATGAAATTTTTTGAAAATTAAATACATACTATATTTGTTAATAACAAAAAAGTATCTCACGTTTAATTTATTTTTATAATTTAGGTATATCTATGGCGGAATAGTTACTTTTGAAAATATTGAAGCTCCTATAATCTTTGAATTATTAATGACGGCTGATGAATTTCAGCTTAATGAATTGATAAAATATACAGAAGAATATCTAATTCAGAATAATGAATTTTGGCTACAGTTAAATTTTTCAAAAGTTTATTTAACCGCCATTGAGCACGATAATTTTGAGACACTACAACAATATTGTATAGATATTGTTGCAAAAGAACCTTGTTTACTGTTTGATTCTGATGGTTTTGTAACACTTCCAGAAAGTGCCTTTGTCTCAATTTTAGAACGAGACGACTTACAAATGAGTGAATCAAAAATTTGGGATCAAGTTATTAAATGGGGAATTGCACAAAATCCCTCCCTGCCATCTAATCTCAATCAATGGTCTGATTTAGATTATTTTGTTCTAAAAACTACAGTCAAGAATTGTTTACCACACATCAGATTTTTTCAATTGACTGGAGAAGAAGTTTTGGAAAAACTACGTCCGTATCAGAAAATTCTTGATCCAAATCTGTGGACAGACATTATGACAAAATTTATGGCTCCAAGCAAAAGTATTACTTCAATAATTTTACCACCTCGAAATAAATCACAGGGACAGCAAGGTCAACAGAGTCAAACGCAAGGCCAACAGAGTCAAACACAAGGTCAACAACAAGGTCAACAACAAGGCCAACAACAAGGCCAACAAAATCAACAACAAAGTCAACAAGGTCAGCAACAGCAGCGACAGAGTCGAAGACAAGTTCACACCGATTCACAACCTCGACAGTTTGAATTAAAATCCACAATTATTTCAATCAAGCATGCTGCAGAAATTGCCTCATGGGTTGACCGTATAGAACACAGATATGACATTAATGAAATTCCATACGAATTTAAGTTACTTATTAGAGGTAGTCTCGATGGATTTACCGGAAAATCATATCATAGGATTTGCAAAGGAAATGAAAATACTTTAATTATCTTAAAAGTTACTGGAACCAATGAAATCCTTGGTGGATTCAATCCTCAAAGGATTCCGACAGGCCATGAAAGAAATTGGATTTCTACAAATGATAGTTTTATTTTTTCATTAAAGAATGATAGAAATTCTATATTAAGTCGAGTAACAAGAGAAGAACGAGCAATTTGGCACAACAGTATAGATTTTTACGGACCACATTTTGGTTCAGAAGACCTTGTTATGCTTGGTGATTTTAACAAAGAGAAAAGATGTTTT